TCTCCAGTGGTGGAAAGCAACACTCTTGTTTTTGCTTCTATTTCTATCACTTCTTTCCTTCTACTGAAGTTAGCATGCTAACCAGCTAGATCTGGCCCGGTTGGCCTGTCTCATTACTTTCCGATAGTGAGTCACTGTAGCATCAAGGTTGCTCAGCAAGAAATAGCGTTTCTTAGAACGAGTATTATAACCTCTTGCTCTTGGCAAGACTAGTAAGTAAACGGCTGGTAATGCTAACGTTGGCTGTGTAGCAATAGTAGAACTTACAAATAGCTTGTTCAAATTGCTCACTTCTACGCAAATAGTATTAAGTCAAACAAAGTACTAGTTTAGTCTTATATGCTCATGCTCTCCACACCACTTAGATAATATAGTCATTGTTTTCATTGTTTCTCAATAACACAAAATGTGTGTGACAGTCTGTCTGTCCTACAATGTTTTATCTTTTTCTCTTTACCAGTTATCTGCCCACAACTCCTTAGTCACTTTAACATTACTCAGTCTGCACTTTAATGCTGCTATGATTGGTGTTTCTTCTATTTTTACAACAAAACCCTTAACACAGAGGTTCCATTTTCTCAACAGCACATTATCCCCTTGTGCTTCACTTCCCCTCCTTACCATTCTTTTCTCTGTCATTGTGCCTCTCCTCCAATTTCTTTCTGTCTCTTACTTTCCCTCTCTTTCTCTGTCCTTGTCAACCTCTATCTAAATTCTGTCTATCCTCAATTTTACAAGGGGTAAACGGTGCATATGAGTCTTCAGTGGTTCAGTCACTGTAACCGATATTCCACATTCATATAGGCTATTTTCAACTATCTGGCCATGCAGTTAGATTGTTTTCAGATAGGACAAGGTGTAGGAGGTATAGCATGTCAGAGTGGCAGAAGGTCTGTGTGTTTTCTTTGTGTATGTGTGTGTGTGTGTGGGCTGAGATAGGCTGGCAGCAGCAGGCATCTGGTGACATCTGGTCCAGACAGATAAAGTAATAAACACATACTATCTCACTATCTGGAAAGAGGTGCAGCCTCTCTCTCTCTCTCTCTCTCTCTCTATCTGTCTGTTTTTCACTCCTCGCTCTCTGTCACTTTTTTCTCTGTTGAAATCAAATTCAAATATGCTTTATTGACATGACAGGAAAGCAGCACATGTTGGCAAAGCAGCACAATGTTTCAAATTAGGTCAGTGGCTAGAACAGTAACTAATAATGGATAAATACTAACATGTATATTGGCAAGAATACACTGTGTTGTCTTTCCTTTCTGCCTATTTGTCTTCACTTCTTTCTGATGTTTGTTGTTTCTCTTTTCATTTTTCCTTGCTTATGGGCTTTTCTCATTTGATTTTCTTTTTCTTTTCACAGTCCAGTTAAATCTTTATTTTTTTATAACTGAATTTAAAATTAAAATTTTACTTAATGGAAATTTGAACATATACTGTACATTTTCCAGACAACTGCTTAGGAAGATAACATTATACAAATGAAAGCTGCAGTACCTCTACTGATTGGACCTTGTGGTGAGATGTTTTGCTGTTTCTGAGGCCTAGAATTTGCTTTTTAATTGTAATTGCTATTCAGTCTTTGTCTTGTCTAAAAAAATTGGTATTTGGGGAAAAAAGGACATTACGGATAAAAATATTCTAAAATGAAAAATGGAAATATCACAAGTGCAAGGGGACAGGCAGGCAGGGGACTGACAAAATTGACATACTAGCTCTTCATAACAGACATTCCTTGCTTGTCAATTTCAGAGGCAATGAGCACAGCCACCTTATTGATTGATCGGGAATCGTCAGTCATGCTTTTGGGCTTGTGTCATTTGAGACAGTTGGCACATCCTGTGGTTAAATTGATCTTTTTTTCTTTTAAACTTAGTGACCTAATGCTGCAGCTAACAATTACTATCATGAAAAATCAATCACCTGATTATTTCCTTGATTGAACAAAAATGCTCATTGCATGTTTGCACAGCCTCAAGATGACAACATAAAATGCTAGCAGATCCACAGATAGAGAACAAAACAAAAGCACAAAATATTCACATTTAGGAAGCTGAGACCTGTGAATATTTGCTTTTAAAATGCCTTAATGTTTAATTGATTTGTAAATTTTTTTTGATTTACCTTCATATTAATCAACTAATCATTTCAGTACCTATTTTATACTGTGCTATTAACTCTTATGATCCGTCAGATTCACATATACACACACAGTTGAAATTTGTGATATTCACCTATGAGCTGACAAGCCTCTCACCAGCGGGGGCCTCACCCTCAGGTGAACAAAGGCCAAGGTCCAAGTGGTCAGAGGCCCCTGGGCACAGGCCCAACTGCCCCAGTCAGTGACCTTTGTGAAAGAGCAGATGATATGTGACAAAGGGGAAATTAGAGAGGCTGAATTTTTGAGTGAATATTAGAAAAGGGCACATAAATGACAAAGAAGAGGACTGAAAGGAAGGAGAGAATCAGGGAGTGACATAAAAAGAAAGGTGGAGGATGTTTAAGATAAAAAAGGAAGAAGTTGAGTGGAAAGCTGGGCGGATAGGGCGATGGATGGATGACTAAGTAGGTAAGATGATAAATAGAAGAAGAGATGGATGGATGAATGGGTGGGTGCTTTGACACATGGCCCCGGGGAATCAGCCATTATACATGACACTGTCACTCAAGATTAGCGGCATAATTAAACTCCTGTCGCACTGCGTGTGGTTCCGAATGTGTGTGTGTACGTGCATGTGCATTTGTTTGTGCACCCGTGTGTGAATCTGAGTGCGCGTGTTGTTTTCCTGGGTGTGTGTGGGAGGGGTAGGCTGTGACAGAGATTGATGGTGAGGGGAAAGCAGGCCATTATGTTGTATAGCTAAAGCAGTGATAGCCTCTACACCTCTGTGTCTGTTTAAACTGCTGGCCATTTTATAGGCGTGGCACAAGTGACCCCATAATACACACACACACATAAACACGCACACAGATTACTCCACCTTTAATTGGAGGGAAGCTGCTAGTTTTCGGCAGGATTTTGTTGCTTCATTTGGCAGTAGTCTGCTGCTGTGATGCCTTCGCAGAAGTCCAGTCACTGTGTGAACAACACAGAGGCCACCGAGCTAAATTAAGTGTCATTCACAAATGAGGCAATCACCCTCTGAAGTGTTAACCCAAGGCTCTTTCCAATAATTGGTGGATAGTTGTGAGCAATTTTAATATGCTAAATGAAATTTTTAAACACCCCCCTTTTTATTTAAATATTCAGCCTTAATAGCAGGTTATCAGGAAACCCTTCAGCCTTCAATTAAGTGAATGAGAAATGAGGATAAAATGATTATCTTGACAACCCAGACAGGACACCCCACTGGAAGAAAAAGAGAGAGAGAGAGAGAGAAAGAGAGAAAGAGAGAGAGAGAGCGAGAGCGAGAGCGAGAGCGAGAGCATAGTCGCATTCATTACAATGCTTGATGATGGTTGAAGGCCATGTTCTTGAGCAGCTGCACTCCGACCAAAGCTACATCTCCTTCTGTCTATGTTTGTGTGTTTCAGAGAGTGAAAAGAGCCCCGCCGCTCCCCTGCCGAGCGGAACATCAGCTTCATCAAGTCAACTAGAGACAGCTACAACAGGGATGGGTGTCGGGCACCTTTGCCTTCAGAATAAAAGCGCAGACTCTACCTCTGACCAACTACTACTCCAAAGTATCAAACATTAGCGAGAAGTATGTTTATGGAAGTGAAAACAATGCGTAAATTTTCAAAACTTTTTTTGCATTCGTTTTATTCATTTGCATGAAAAAAACGTGCTTTCTGTTGTATCTCTCACTCAATCAAAACTGAAGGCCAATGATTTCTAGCAAAGTGCATGTACAAGCTAGCCCAGACTTGGTGCACAACTGAAACACGCAAATGAGGCTGTCCAGTTTTTTTGGGTTTTTTTTTTTATTTATCATTTTTTCATTCAAGTGAATGGGAAAGTGGCCAGACTTTCGGACCCCACTGGATATATTTTAATTACACAAAGACAGTTAGACCCAATTTGAAACATCTCTGGGATAATAAGGCTAAGTTCAAAGTGGGCCTTAGGAATCTGTTTGCATACAATGGTCACATGTTTACAGGGCAACAGTCTCACAAACGTTAGCCAAAGTATCGGTTATCCCTGTTAAGCTTGCAGGTCAAGTGGGGCACTGCCAGTTCTGTGACATGAACCTAATTAGCGTCTTTACCACAGTTGAGTATCTTGGCGTCTTCCTCAATGACTATTCCAGAGCTAATTCATTTGCTGGTTAATTAGCTAGTTAATTAGTAAACGAGCTAATCCAAAAAGTCAGGTATGGTGAGCACTGATACCTGCTAATTAGTGCTAACGTAAAGTAACACTAGAATTTCACTCACCTCCGAAAACAGGAGCACAGACGTTCCTCACGTTCTCTTTAACCGCACAACAAGCCATATTATTTGTCCGACATTTGCATGAAAAATCCTCCAAAAGGCACCAAACACCACAAGTTATGTGGGCGGTTATGTTCAGTGACTCGGATTAGCTGACAGGGCACCTAGCAGGCAGCTACTTGCTCGACATAAAATGTTTGCCACGAGCGGCTAACCAACTGTGACGGCACCCATTTGTCACCCAAAGCAGCCATACTTTCAATGACGTATAAGTTTAAGCCTTAAAAACTTATATGGGTAAGTGATATAAAAAAAATGTTGTCACCGTGTCGGCTTCACTTTTCAGCCCTAAATGTTGCCGCTTGTTCAAAAACAGTATGCTATTGAACGCTGTTTTTATTTCTAAAACATTGACGCCCCGGGTGACATAATCAGAAAAGACACTGAGTAAACGTTTGCCACTACTGCTGTGATTTTTCACTATTCCCTTGTTGAGAATACGCTTTTATTTTGGAAATCACGACCGGAAAAGCTATGTTATTGCGTGGTGTTTGACTTGACAGATGGCAGGCGAGAGACGCTCCTCTCGGCTGTCTCTCTCTCGGTCCGTTGGTCTATCCCGGTTCCCATTGTCTCCCCTTTTCACTCTTTGAAGACAACCCCGAGACGACAAAACTAAACTTAGCCCTTATTCCGTCCATATCGCCTTTATAACGTTACGTTTAGAGACTTACCTCGACCTGAAATTTCACCCTGTCCCTCTCCGTACGAAACGTGGACATGCTTTCTGTGTTTTTTGTGTCTCTCTCTTTTTTTTTTTAACATTGTAGAGATTTATTCGCTGTACCGGAGGAGGCAGTGAATGAACCGACTAACGGCTGACGGGGACTGACAAAACGGCGGTTGTGTTGTGGAGCTGATGGGAAGATGAACCGGAGGAGGAGGACTTACTAGCCAAACAGAGACACCGAAATCAGCTTCTAGTGGCTGTTGACATATCACAACATCCTAGCAACAATTTGACTCACCATTTTTCGAGGGGATAAAAAAAAAAAAATCAGGGAAAAAAACTAAGACACTGGATTTCAACTGCAGGTTTGGAGATAAAAACGTTGTGTTTGGTTACGGTGTGAATGAACAGTAGAGGATGTTGCCGCTACATGCCCGTGACTTCCCCTGAGAGGAGAGGAGCTGGTCTGTGTAAGGAGGCAGGGACCACTTTCACTTGTTTTCTCCACCCTAAAACAAATTAGGCTGTTTCAATCAGCCAAATCCAAGTGGCGCTTAATCGGATTATTAAACAAGAGAGTAGCTAATCTGTTGAATATATCGATTTAATCTCCTAATCTCGCCATCTCTCTGCTTTTTTCAGTCTTTCAGTAAGTGGCTACAGTACAGGACCGTGTCAAAGATGGTACTTATCGAGGCAATCCGGAGTTTGTAGCCTAGTAGGTGATAACTGGACAACTGGACCCTTTGTGGACGTAACTGTAGAGTCACTGTAACCTTTGTTTAATACAGGAGTCCAGTCTTAAAACACAATAGTTTTACTTAAGACCCACATTATCAAAAATCTGAATCAGTTCAGTGTTTTTTGCCAATTAATCAAAATGCACCACACTACCTGATTTTTTTGAGCTACTAAATTGCCTTCAGTTGCAGAGGCTTGGAAAGGGTCTGCTTTCATGACTGAACTCCGTGGATACATTGAGAACAATTTGTGGACTTGAATCATCCCCAAGGCCCACCTTCCATCTTTGATCCCTGACCCCCTGCGTGTTGGAAATCCAGGGGACCACATTTCAGGCTCTTAACCTGTCAGCAGCTCCTCCATTTGAATGAAGTAGTAGCCTTTCATTCCCCTGAGCTCCAGCGAGTACAGGGGCTGTGCTCTGTTCTCTTAGGCCGGGCAGCGAGCGCCTCTACCTGGGCTGCCAGCCAGCCAGACGGCCCTCGGGGGGCTTTTGGATTTTGAAGGGCCAGCTGGAGATTTGGGAGTTACCCAGAGTTTCTTCACCACGTGGACCACAGGAGAGAGGGAGGAGGACACCATGGGGTGCTGTAGTGGCAGATGTACCTTGGCCTTCATCTGTGGCATGCAGCTGGTAAGTGTTAAGATTGCTATTGATCCTGTAAGGGGGTGGCTGAATGGAAGGATCAATCAGGAGAAAGAAAAGGTTTTTTAAAATCTTGTAAGAACAACAACAACAACAAACAAGTCATGTTGGGGAATCAGCAATAAACACATCTTTAATAGACACAAAGAGGGGATGGATGGGTAGATGCATGGAAAAAATGGATGATTGAGAGGTCAGATTTCACAAGTTAATAGGAGTGTAAAAGGTCATGATACAAGGTAGGATCTGAGTTGAGGGACAGATTGAGGAATAGGTGGACTGACTGGATGAATGGCTGCTGGTGGGAGCTCTAAGACTGTACTAAGAGTCCTGATGGATAGACAGAGGCAGGGAGTGATAAATGGAGACACTGAAGAAAAAGGAGTTATGGGTGGATGGATGGCAGATAGATAGATGTATGGAGCAGGTACGTGTGATTTATGGAGAAAAATGTATGGATTTAGGGAATAGGAGGAATAGACATGATATAAACTCATGGTATCAGCTTCTGCCATTCTCTCTATGTGCCTGTCTCTTTGTATCTCTCTTTCTCCCTTCACCATCTGTGTCAATGGAAACTGGTGCCAGGCAAGACAACAGGGAGGGAGGGATGGGTCTGTAGGTGTGTATGTGTGCATGCATGTGAGGATGTGCGAGAAGGAACACAAATTATTACATTAGTTCAGTCTTGTAAATTCTGAATACTAAAATGAAAATCCACCCTAACACACTAACAATGATATGAAGCAGCAAACCTTCTGCTGGTGGGTCCCTTTGTTTTCCTACCGAAAAATGGACAAATATAGGTAATCTTCTGTCGGTTCAATATATTTCAAGGAGAGCTGCAGTACATTGGATTTTATTAGCAGAGAATTTTTCATCTGAAACATTTTTCTTCAGTGTTCAACAATCATACAGAAAGAAATCCATCATAGAAAAAGGGGAGAGAAACTTGAAGCAGTGTTAGTCATTTTGGCTAGGGCAAGTGGACGAAGCCACAAACTTAACAGTGACATATGGCCTTATAAAGCTAACATCCAAACATGTTTGCAAACAGTTGCCTATTTACAGAACCATAGCAACATTTCCATCGATTCCATCTATCTATTTAAAATCATGTCCTTGGTCAGTGTACAAATGTAATTCTAATATTTGAGGTTCTTTTTAGCTTTGTTTTTGGTCTCCACCAACTCCTTAGGAAAAATATTGGGCTCTTCAGCTGCTAAATGCTTTACAATGCTCACCGGCTAGTGCTGACCTAGTCTTTTTGTTGTCTGGTGCTGGGCAGGTAATGTGCAGTGAATTTATCAGAACTTTTTCTCCGTAAATAGCTGAAATTTTTGATTATATTTGGAGGGAATTGCAGAATTGCGTGATAAATACCTGTGGGTTTGTTGCTACGAGAAACATCTTTCACATTACACACAGTAATTTGACCTGTTATTCATATAAAAAAAAATGAATTAATGAAGCTTTAATAAACCATAATACAAAGGACCTAGAAGACATTTTGACTGAGATGCATGACTGGTCGGTTGAAAAAGTCGGTTGCTTGCTGTTACTACTGCGATCATGGCAAAGCTCTTCATCTTGGCTACTTGTAAAACCAAAGGTGGATTATTACTGTACATTGTTTCAGCCAGACTGACAGCTAGAGCGGAGTAATAAGTCCAGGCAGGATCCTCTGGAGGCTACCCAGGGAAATGAAGGAAATAACTGCCTCAAGTAGAAGCAGAGGAGAAAGGTTTAGGCAAAGTGGTGCCAGTCATCTCAAAAAATATCCTGAATTTCTTTAAACCTCACAGGCTGATGATATGTAACAGTGTAAGAGGATTTTAGGGTGGAGTTTTTCCTGCAAGTGTGTATAAAAACTGAAGGCATGTTGTGACATAAACGCGACACTGTATATAATGTAGACAGATGCATAAACATGAGCAGAAGTGCTTGTGCTGTAGCATTCTCAGCTCATGGAGTCATGTACAGTAAGCATGTGCAAACCTAAGACCTATTGTCATGTTGAATAGGGCACTGTTACTGACATAATACCCTATGTGTGTCGGCATGCATGCGCTTTTTTTCTTTCTATTCAGTACAAAAGATATATGAAAACCACCTAATTTACCATAGGATATTAATGTGAATGACCCTTTTTGTGTGAGTGTGTGGTTGTAGAAGGCCTATTGTGCTGTGAAATGGGACATTGCTGTGCATGATTTCATTCAGAAAAGGAACAACGGCTGTTTAAGTCAACATGTCTACAGTAGAATGCCAATGAGATTGCCACATGTGCTGTACATCCATCAAACACACCATTGTGCTGTAAATTGGGATGATGCTTGATTCTGTAGGTGAAATACACAGCGTGTGTGTGTGTGTGTGTGTGAGAGAATGAGATGCTGTCACAGTGATAGTCATTGTGTCTAATGCGGTGGAACTAATGCTATGCCATAGTCAACAACATGTTTTGCTCTGCTAACTGTTGTAATAGCTAAGCTGGCTGATACCACCACTAGCTGAGCTGGAGGTCTAGAACTACTGTATGTTAGAGTTTGGCCACGCACAGTTAGCTCAGTTATAGTTGGAACCATTCAGACACAAGCCGCCTGATGGTGAAATCCCTGTCTGCACAAAAAGCACAAATTCTCCATATTATAAAGATGCAACGATACATGTTGTAGTTACTCACAGGAAACCACACAGCCCACAGTTCTCATTGTTAAAAGCCACTTACTTGACCACAAATAAAAAGACAGCCTTTTTTTCTCCCTTCTGCTTGAGACCCCCTGTCTGAGGTAACTATGGAGGTGCTATGTGAGCTTGCACCTAATAGTTGACCTCGCAGAGGAAAAAAAACAATGCTGGTCAGTGTGTCTTATGTAGTGGAACTGATATCTTATGTAACTCTTAACAGCTGTTTTCTCCTGCTTCATTAGCTAGGTTAATTGCTGATGTCACTATAGCTGAGTAGAGATCAATGATGCAGGTTGGAGATATGTCTACTTCACAGCTGACGTCGCCATGTACCAAACAATCAGTCCTTCCAGGTGAAATTATGCCAGTTTGTAATCCAAATTAGACTAAATTCCAGTGTACTAGGCTTATCAGTTTCCTTTAAGGTCAACAGTCAATTTAAAAGAATTGTTTTCTGCTTTCCAGCAGTAGCTATTGGTGTTTATTAACTTAAGTGTGATGAATCTACAGAGACTTCGACACTTTTTTTTTTTTTTTTTGTCCCATGTCCTTTTGAAAGTTTCTTTAGACATTTGAAAGTAGTGCTGAAACTAACAATTATTTGTTTTCATTATTGATTAGTTTTCTAAATTAATTGATCATTTAATCTATATGTCAGACAATACTTACAAATGCTAATCAAAAATTCCTAAAGCTTAAGGTGACATCCTTTTTAATTTTTTCTGACAATCTAAAAGAATCAAAGATAATCAGTTTACTATCACACAATGGAAAAACAGGAAACAAATCGTCACAATCGAGAGGCTAGAACCAGGGATGGTTTGGTCTCCTATCACATCATTGTTAACGATATATTTTTTTCTCAAGTGTTTCAGCTGTATTTGAAAGGCTGTAAGATCCTGATCCTCAACTGAGGTGTGTCAGATTCAGTACTTCCCTCTGATTGGTGGATTAGCTCAAGTACGGTAATCATATGATTTGTTTTAGATATTTATTTGTTTTTTTGCAGATATATAAATGTTTGGAAGAGATTTATTTTGAAAATACTGCTTTTTAAGATAAGTATTTTAAGCTGATGTTAAAAGTTTCTGAATTTCCATAGTTCTTGCAGCTTGACTGTAACTGTATACCCATAGATACATTTGCTGAAAGAGAATAATATCGAAAATATAAAAAAATAATAATAATAAAAATACAGCTAGTTATCTTAGCTAGCATAAAGCCTTGAAACAAGGGGAAACAGCTAGCCTGGCTCTGTCTGAAGGTTAGGGTTAAAACAGGACAAAAACCAAAGTGTCAAAACAAGATGTTGCAGTTTTATGGGCGGATATGTGCTACACTACTTTTTGGGTGGACGCAGTCACTTTCTGCAGTCTTGTTGTAGTTGTGAGGTTGCCAGGCAACCAGAGGAAATGGCAATAAATCACTGTGTCTGGCCAAGAAATAGTCCTACAACGTTAAACTAAAAAGATATGACAGACATGAGAGTTGTATCAATCTTATTATCAACATTAACTCTCGGCAAACAAGTGAATAAGGTTATTTCCCTGTTTGAAAAAGGATATTTAATTCCTTTAGAGTTGGAAAATAGCAGTGACAATTTTCTTTATTATTCAGTTCATTTCAGTTCAACTTAAAAGGTTTTCACATGGCAACAGTGATATTATGGTGAGGAAGATCAAACACATGCAACATGAAAAATGTGTGTCATTGTGCGGTGAGCAGAACAGAAAGGAAGATTATTAAGTGAGATCGTGCAAAACAGAACAGAGCAAACAGGTCGTAGCAGATCAGTTGTTTTTACCAACACCTTTGCACACACCCACACGCGCACGCATGCACACACACACACACACACACACACACGCATGCACACACACACACACACACACACACACATACATACATATGCCACTAGTGACTCATTCACTGTGGCGATGGTTGTGGTCCTTGTTGCTATATGAGTCCACACACCCACCAGCTGCTGTGACAAAGATGATGACTAAATCATCCAATGGTGTGATAGGTAACAGGACGGCAACTGGTGGCCTCGCTCCATTGGCTGGTTCAGCGGATTCTGTGCAGATGGTTGGTGGGTGTTAATGTCGATGAAACGTTAATTACGTTGTTGGTGTGTAAGTTAATTGAATGGAGTGAATGGAGCTGAATTATAGCTTTGTAATTCAATGTAGTGCACAGTCACAATGCGATAATGATTCTTAATGCAATAGAATAATTGATCTTTCAAACACATAAACACCAAAGAATAGGAGCGACTGTCAGAATTATTTTAGCTG